CAGAAATAGGTTTTAGTTGTACTGTATGTTTAATAGTGAAATGGTCAAAAAAGCCAAAGGTATATTATCCATCGCCCATGGTTATAAAGCAGACTGCTAACTGCCTTATGGGGGGGGGGGGGGCTTTTTTAGGGGATTTGTATAGTGCTAATCTTTATTTTGTGTATTTAATTTTATTGAATATTACACTATATTTTTTATTAAATGTGTAGTACAAATGCATATAAACATGTGAATTTTAACTATTTGTTTTCTAAAGTCAACTCCTTGACATACAGTATTTCGTATTTTGTTTGGAGTTATGAGCTACTGTCAAGAGCTTGGGTCTTTCTTACTTAATTGGAAGGAAAAAAAAAAGCAAAGCTCAAAGAAAACCTATCCAATTTGCCTCCTTTTAAACTGTACCCTTGTAAGTACATTGAGAGGAGCTGAAGGCTGGAAGTCAGAGCGTGGACATTGCTGCCACTTTTTTGATCAACATTAGGTCATACATTAGTAAAATAAAAGGCACAACTTCTTTGCCAGTTTAAAAAAACACGCTCTCCTTGAACCACTCATGGAATGTTGGGGAAAATAGCGTTTTAAACAGATGAGTGTATTGCTGTTAGTCAGTACTATTTAATGAAGTTTTAATTAGTTAACTAGTTGTGCAATATCAAGCTCCTGAAACACACAACACTGGGTAAACAAGTAGGTCTGAATGTGCACTGTTTCTTTCCCTTAAAGGGAATAAGGACGGCATGAAGATACTTTTTATATTTCTATCTTTTGAACCTTTTATTTTTAACATAACTTTATTTTAGATGCATCTTAAATGACTGGTTAAGAAAAGCTGCAGTATCACAGTATTTAGTCTTAGCATGTACTGAAAGTTAAGCTGATAACTTAAGCAGTTCAAACAAAAAAAACTATTTTACATGCATTTGCATACACATCTAGAAGTTCAATATACTTTTTTTTTTTTAAAAAATGAGCTAAAATATCACCTTTGCTAAAAATAATGAAAAAAATGACCAGTTTGTTGCCAATATCTCTTAACATTTGGGGACAGAGTCTAATATAGGTAAAGGACTGTATTAGGCAGTTCCTATCTGCACTGAGAAAAATCAGACTTTGAAAGAAAGCATTTTAAAATAATCCTGATGTCCTTATCAACTGTGTTGTATCTTTTCATTTGTAAAATTAAAATCTTTATGTGCCTTCTTTCATGTAATTGCAGATGTTTTATGTACTGCAGCATAGATACTATGTTTACATATAGTTTTGTAAAGCATATATACTATGGTCAGAAAATATAAAAAATATAGTGGATCAAACTTCAAGTATTGCTTTGTCAATATACATTCAGATCATGTTAAAATAAAGTTACCTGAAAGAAGTACATGATCTATTGTAATAAAGTAAAAATAATAAAAAAAAATCATCCCCCTCATGATTTGCCTTCTGTATTGTGTTTTACTGTATACTAGGGCACAGGGAAAAAGCCGACAAATAGTTCAGGTTGTGGGAAAGCACTCCTCATTTCTAGTCCGTTTGTAACTCAGGACAAACATTTTCACTCTAGGTTACAAATACATGCAACTTGTTTAAGTAACCGTGATAGCTTCTACAATCATTGTCACATGGCTGCTGGTCTGAGATTTAACCTTTTGGGAAATCGATAAGGCCAAAATGTGCAGTACCAGGGGACACCCCCGTATGTTCTTTAAATAAGGGTGAGGATTCTGAGAAAACATCGTAAGAGGCTTAAATAGTGTGGAAGGCCAAGCAATACGTCCTATGGTTGATTTGAAAAATCCACTTACCGATTTTTGTAGTGGTATATTTTCAATTGCATTCTTTTGAGTATGTAACAGATGGAAATCCTTCCTTCAAGGCTGAGAGGTGTTTGGAGAGAGACATTAATACAGCATAAACCAAGATTCTGTCATGTGTTGACTACTTCACTGCCACTGAATAAGTAACAGTTGTGCGGGTTGATGATTATTTACATTAAGTTCAGATTTTAATGTTGTACATCATTTGGATACTTGAAACTTTGCCCCCAGATAAGTTATTTTACTTAGCTTCATTGAACTCTTTTGGTCAACATCAAATTGTTAATCCAATTAAATTTGAAACCAATATACCAATGTCAGAATTCTAAATTATCACAGGACATGTTCACTTACTTGCCAGCTAGAGTAACTAAAGTATTGCTTAAATTCACAAGTATAAAAGTAATGCAAACATAGCAACTTTTTTTTTTTTTTTTTTTTTAAAAAAAAGCATAGAATGGCTTACTTCATGGCTTGGTTTTGTACTTGCAAGCACATCAAAATTAAGGAAGAGTTCACATTAATCTGCAATGCAGAACGAGTACGAGAAGGAGGCCCAAGGACAGATGAATTGATCACATTCCTCACAGACCAGCATCTTACCAGGGTTTGCTCAGCAGACCCCCCACAGCTCAGCCTGGCTCCCCCAGGCTTTTGCTCCGCTCCTGGTCCACCAGAAGTTAGAGAAAGAATTAAGAGGCACACAGACAACCACGTTTGGGCTCTCTATGCCACCTTTTCCCCTAAAAACAGATATTTAGGAGTTGTTCTGCATTTTGTATTTTTGGAGGAGTAAGTAATCAAACTTTTTTTGCTGACAGTCAGGAAGTAACTTTAGTCACAGAAAATACACCCCCCACCCCCATTCTGTCCTGGAATAATTTGGGTTCTTTCATATTTGTGTATTGTGATCTGTGTCAATTTAAGTGTGATAAAGTCACTTAGTTCATTTGCTTCTACTACTTAGTCCTCCCCTGTAGTTGTAAACTTCCATACATGTTTTATTTCGAAGTTGAAGGAAAAATGCCAAGGATAGGGAATTACAAGGAAAAACTGATTAGATAAAAGTGAGCTAGTAAACAGTAAGGATTTGTTTAGTTATTATCCCTTAACATTTTCTGAAGGACAGGGCAAGTCAGAAGAATTTTTCTCAGACCATTTTTCCCCCTAATGTAACTTTGGTTGTAGTCACTATCACCAATACTTCCATTCAGTTGTAATTTCTGCAGTGCCTGGAGGTCTTAAAAAAGACCCACAAATATCCTTACCTTTTTAGAAGATTCTCTAGCCACACAAAGAATCAACTGGAATCACCTTTTCAAAAGAAATCTGTTTACTATTAAACTGTGTAAATAAAAATAAATGCATATGCAGATAGAAAGAATGCATAAAAGCCCAATTAATCCAGCAATCAGCAGTTTTATTTAATGCAAAATGTGTGTTTTTCTCCCAAAGATCTTTCCTTTAAGGAACGGCTTTAGATGATGAACTGCTGCAATACAAGTGTTTAAAAAACATTAACACAATGCAAAGAAGTTGATAATTTAGCAAAACTATTTTATTAAAGCTTATTCTCATGATAAAATAATAGCCAACAAAATCATATTAGGCAGATCTTCTGCAAATGTGTGCAGCTGCCACCTATTCAGATATCATTAAGTCAAGATATTCTTGTTTTCTGTGGTATTCTTTATTTTCAGCTATTTACAATCAAGCATGAAGCAAAGATTACATCAGGAATGTAGTATTACAATTTTCCCCTCAAGACTCACCGTTTATTGTAATTAATGCCAGGTAGGAATTTATGCTTTCCTTCTTATCACTAAAATACAACTATTTTGCCCTTTTCCCATTCGGTATATTTAAAAATATTGCACTACGTTTAATTTATCTCTTACAATCATCATTAGCAATACTATACGAGGAAAACTATATCCAGCTTTTCTTACCCACTGTATCACACAAGTCAATTTAAAACCACGAATGTGTTTTTGAAATCAGTATTTGCATTGTTTTCACAGCTCCTTCATGTGTACCAGGGTTTAAATGAAGTACTTGGATATATTTGAAAACCTCTATAGTAGTCCATAAGAGCAAACACTGATGGAGATTGAATGCAGATCACCACCAATGGTAAGCCACTGAGAAAATGGAGTGGGGAAGTCTTAATATGCATCTCAAGCAAGTATAGGTTAAATAAGTTTTAGTCAATAAGGGAAGCTAATTTTGTGCGATTATTTGCTGAAGCTTAATTTCAGGTGTGTCACATGCCTATTTTAGCATGGATAGTGTTTTCCATACATCAGCTAGATAAGTATCAACTGCCCAGAACTCACAAAGAAGTGCAAGTAGTTGCATGAGTGGAAGTAACCGTTTTGTTTTGGTTTTTTTTTTAGAAGTACAAGTATGCTCTTCCATCTGTGAAAACCATTGCTTCTTAATTTTGCCCACCGCAAAATAAACTGAGAAGCAAATTTAATGGAGAGGTACATTACAGACTGCCTGAAAATTTAAATCAGTTATTTCACCATCTTAGATTCAACTCCATTTCCACAAAGGCATTTTTTTTTCTACTACCAGTGATACCAGTGATAATGATACCAGTACCTAACACAGTACCTAAAATAAAGATGATATTTTATACGTCATTTCTATACACAGAAGATGAAACAAAGACATGTTTACAGGAAATAAATAAGAACAGCCTTAGCCAGGTGATGCTAAGATGCACAGTTTACACGTAGCACAAGACCAGATAGTTCTTTTCAAAAGCTGCTGGCTGAAATTCTTGCTCATCTCTACTGGACTCACTTGTTTTGACTCAAATAAAACATGTTATATACAGTATAGGACATTATTCGGACAAAGGTGATAATTCTGCTCAGACTGTCTCTTCTGTCTGAGAAGCTGAATGCAACTTACCACTATATGATTACTCAAAAGTGTTGAGAGAACATGTTTAGCTATTTTGTAAAGTATTTTGTACCTTAAGTTTTCTGAAATGATAAAGTCTGCAGCAAAATATTATTTTTTTAAAATTACTTAAACCATCATTACATGCTTTTTCATAGAATGCAATGAAACCTCCAACTCTTGTGAAGAACAACTTTCCTTTAACAGGTTATCAGATAATACAACAATACTTAAACATATAATTTTGTTCTGGAAGGCAACCAGCCTCATCTCAAAAATATGCCCAATTAAAATTATTACAAGATACTGGTATGTACTTTGATATCTAGTATTATTCAATCAGGATACAATAGCCCAAAGTTCTAAGGATGACTTTTTTTAGCATTACTGTATTTCATGTTAATTACAAACTATGAAAAGTTCCTGTACTTAAAAATATGGAAAACAAGTGATATGCAATATTAACTTTAGTAAATACTAATAACAGACAAAATGAAAGACTTTTGTTTGCTTTCATGATATGTTTGGCAAAAGAAGTACACAACTACCTAGAAGATGTACAATAAAACTGTGATCAACGTTTTAAAGCCTGGTCCCTCAGTGACTTCTGTGTCAGTCATCAGCTTAGGCATGCAACAAGCTTATTTTTTCATCATACAATGGAAACTAAACATTTTGAAAATCCTGCCAGTTTCCTGTTGAAAACACTAGCTCAAAAAAAAAAAAAAAAAGAAGGGGGGGCAGGGGAGGGCAAGTAATACATTAAGGACACCACACACATTAATGTGAAATGGCAAGGTTACATAATTAGAAAAAATAAAAATAAGTTATTAAAAATAAATTTCCAATATAAACCCCAAAATGTAGTTTTAACCAGCCAGTTTAACAAAACGATGGTGCTGTAGCTGGAGAACCATTATCAGCTGTACTCTTACACAGGCAAACAACTGTGGAGAAGCAGGACATGTACATTATACCAGTGTTTTAATTTAATTGGTGTGTGTTTGTAATTAAGTGCAAAGTATTCTTTTAGTCCATTCCTTCAAAGGCTAAATATGTAAATATCAGTCTACTGATTGAGGTGGATCAACTGGTTCTTCTGATATGATGTTGAATGTTGGAGCCTCTGTCAGGCTGACATCTTCATTATCCATTTCTTCTGCTATATTGGGTTCCTCTGAATCTTTAGTCACTCTTTTGGACTGCCGCTCTATTGACATGTTCTCCAAAGACTCTATATCCTCAATGCCTGCTCTGTAGTGGATCATCAGCAGCGTAAGGGCCTGCAGTCTTTCACCCGACTTAGCCAGCGCAGCAGAAATCAAGGCTTTTTTCCTTGCATCAGTTGTCTCTTTTTCTTCTTTAACGAGTGAATTATTATTTTCCAGCTCCTGGTCTATTTCATTCTGCAGCTTATCCAACATAAATTCTAATTTCTGAAAACGCTCCTCTGTGGGTAAACTTCTATAGAGATCACGTCCAATTTCTTTAACGGCAATGAAGACACTGTCGTCTAGACCACCCTCCTTTCGGACCAACTTTATCCCAGTACCTGCTGCACGTTTTGAAGGACTGCTTGGCCCACTGATTTCAGTATCGCTACTTTCATTATCAGAAGTGTTCGGTGTGTGCTTTGGTGAAGGTTCTACCACCTCTGTTCCTTGCTCAGAAAGGCGAGCTTTGGGGACTTGACGAAGGTTTAACAAACGGGTGCTTGTATTGATGATATGCCTCGTCAAACCTGTAGTTCTGTTAACAGATTTAGATTCTGAATCAACGCGAGAGGATGCAGCTTGGGGAGCTTCCTGTCCTTCTGCTCTACAACCTCCCACAGTTCGATCAAGTCGCTTCTCAGCTCCTACACAAAAGGGTGTCTCAGCTAGACATTTTTCTTGACATTTTTTATGGCAAACATAAGCACAGAGCATGCACTGCGAAGCCGCTTTAGTCCATACTTTCTTTTTGCAGTAATCACACCAAGTTGGATTCTGAAACTGAGTATCTTGAAAGTTATGCTTGTTCTCCGTAAGAACAATTTGTCCCAAGTAAGGATCCTCTTTCTGAAGTGCACGAGCTTCTTCTTCCAAGTGGCATTCCCTTTCCTTCTCCAGAAGAAAGTTTGAATCATCTATTTCACCTTCTTTTAAATATTTGAAATGTAAAGTCACATCGCCATAACAAAATTTTTCATTGAATCCCTTATGGGTTGTCAAATTCCGCAATGCTGTTCTAGTGACTGCTGCTTTAGGTGTAGGAGCATCCAGTTTAAATGTTCTAATATATTCCATTGAGGATGTAGCTATACAATCTAAAGCAATTTCTTCAAGTTTTATGCTTGCATATCCTAAGCAGATAAACCCACCTGCTTTGAAAGGGTCTCTGCACCACAGTGCAACATTAAGGTACTTATGGTATCCTTCTACTTCAAATAGACAGGAGGATGTTCTCATCCTTGGCCATCGGCCTTGACGGATTTTATAAGGAATTTCTGGCGATTCCCATGTTTGATGATCATCTCCACTATCTTTGTAACTACGTGCATTTTCTGAAAGTCCATCTTTTAATGTATCTTGTTTTGGTGCTGTTATTACTTTTGATACCGCTGGGTCTTCTATTTGATCATTATTCTTTATTACCTTCTCTGTACATTTATCTCCATTATTTGTAGGTGGAGGTGGCCTTTCTGGTTTTTCAGAAGACACACCTCCAGTTTCTAACAGATTTTGAGTTTCAGTAGTAGGCAAAATAGGCTTACTTTGTGGCCTAGGTGGCACAGGAGGCTTAATACTGGATCCTTGTGATTGTTTACCTGATAGCTGTGATGCATCTGAACCCTCCACAGTTTTGGGCATTGCCACTTTAGCTCCATCTTTTTGTTGCGTTTTTGATGTTGTCTGATAACTTCCTAAATGTAGTTTTCGATTCAGAATCGGTGATATAGTTCCAAGTGGTTTAGCAGCAAGTATTACTACTGAACGTTTGGGACTCGGAGTTGTTGGCAGATCTTCTTTTTGGTCAGATGATTCACAAGCTAAGTCCTCAAATTCTGAATCAAAATCTCTGTTATCAACATCAGCTGATAAACTAGCTTGGTCATCTTCTGGCTGTGTCAAGAAAGCAGTGTCTTCCAGTTGTCCAAATCCATCCTGCAGCGCCGAACCATGCTGATTATACCCAACAGGCCTTTCATAAAAGACTAAAACTCTGTCCCCAGCCTGTCTAATAAGCTTCAACACTTGGACAGTTGATGTGATTTTAACACCTATTAAAAAAAAAAGACAAAGATTGTTAAATGTTAATTATGATAAGAAGCTAAATGGCCAAAACCAGTCAACAAACATTTAGATCTTTAATAGTGGTAATAATACTGTTGCTCACTAACAGAGGAAGCTCTTCTGTCATAACTGACTTAATTAAAATGTAACAGATAGATCCTTCCCATTTTATTCATAGAAATATATCACTTCAGGAGCTGGAAAAGATACTGACATAAATACTCCAGTTTGCTGTCTGTTATTAATGCTGTAATCTTGTAGAGTAATGCTGATTTTATATGCTAACATTTTTAACCTTAATCTTATTGCAAGTTTGGACTTTTCAGCAGCAGGCATGTAACAAAGGATTCAAAAGAGATGGGCATCTTTAAATACAGTCATAATTAAAACAGAAGCAGGCTAACAAAGAAAATAGTTCCAATATGTTAACAAAATACAGGCGCGATGCTACATTTGCAGTGTGGCTGAACAGTGAACTGAATCATCTCCCTTATCAGAACTTTCAGAGCCATTTGACAGTATCTCCAACCTGTGGTAAGATTTGACAAATTATATGCAAGCTAAAATATCTTAATGAGCACATAGTCCAAACAAAGTCATGTAGGGGGTCATGTGAAAATTACTTTTCCCTTGTTCTAGAGCAATCATCAATTGCCTGTTTGAAGCAACTCAAAATCCTTTTAAATCACTGGAGCAATGCAATGGGGATTTGGGCAGTACCTAATCACAACAACTCATTGTAATCATTAAGGTCTGGTCTGTAAAACCTCAGGTAAAAACTTTAAAAAAAAAAAATTAATGCAACCGTGCTAGCAGGGAGTTTAAGTAGTTCATGTCATAAGTGTATAAAGTTCTACCTTCATAGTTACCACACTAACTCTTTTACAGTATCTTAATGACTTAACAGAACCAAATATAAAATTACTTTACCTCTTATTTATACAGTTAATGTTTGGAGAAGAAACATGTGTGCTGTCACATGCAGGGATATCTGGGATACTATATATAGCTCATAATTATGCAGTTCTTTCTGCATTTCTTTCTCTACCAATGACATGATGGAGATAATCTCCAAATTCACAATATAACCCTAACAGAATTTCTTTTACCGTTTTTCCCCTAGAGTGATTTCAGTTTACATTCTATTTTATCAGTGGTACCTACATTTATTTCTAAAATGTTATTAATATATAGTGATAGTCCCACTCCTTTTTAGTCTTTATAAATCCCTGGACAGTATACAAGCCCAAACAAGCTTAAACTAAGCTACTTATGATTCCTACTCCGTAATGTTTTATTTAGTCCCACAACATCCAGCAGAATAGAAAATATTGCATTATTTCTTAATGATGATGAACAGGATCTTATCTGCTGCTTCCACTAAGTTGGTTACCCACGGTTCTTGTTAATGGTTTATTTGTCCTTCTGTCCACTGCCATATTCTGTAGGTCCCCTCCAGTTCTCAAGTTTAAAGCAGTAAGATTTCCAGGATCAGTTTCTGATTATGGTTTATGATTATGATCTAGTTCTCTGTTGGTGACAGGGTCCATATACAACAGAAGCATTCAAGCTATATCTGGAGATGGTCTAATTTAAAACTGTAGAATATAAACTAGTATCAATCCACTTCATAATGCCCAGGCATTTCAATAGAATCTTTATTAAAAAAACCACCACCAAAATACAGTGCCCTCCGCTACAAAAGTCAAGGGTAACTTTTGCCTCAATGCAGCACTTATCTGCCAGTTACAATTTGGACAAAGTCTTCAAATATGAGAACTTCAGAATAGATTTCTAAATAATAATTAGGCTCCCACATGGCAGAGCTGACAAAAATTGATACTAAAAGTATAAAAATACTATCAAATACTCAGCAGATCTTCTTGAGTCATTTTGGCATTTCAGGCAATTACTCTGTTAGTCAAAAATATGTTTATACTACTTGTTCCATACTCTATTTAGTACCTTTAGGTTCAAAGCTGAGTATGCAGGCCTAGGATGTAAAATGTTATGGTTTTCCTTGTAAACTAAGCACATTTTATAACATCACTGGAAGAAACTAAGTAGAAAACCTCACAGCATCACTATTACAGCAGTTAAAATATAACTACATTCAAATGTTTATTCAACTTTATTTTGGCTTTTACCTAGCAAAGAGTAAATAAATATGCAAAAAAAGAATAAAGTGAATGATAACCTTAAGTGGCTGTAAAAACTAACATTTATGTATTTATTATGAGTGCCAGACATAACTGTAATTGTTGCAAAAGGTGGTCTAGTTGAACTGTATGCAGACATGTCCTCCTAGTTTGCAAGATGACACTTATTTTGAAAGCTGACATGTTACTCACTGCCAATTGCTAGAAGTCTGTCTCCTCTCTGTAGATCAGCAGCTGCAGCAGGTGAGTTTGGAGTCACAGTTTCAATGACAACATGCCCTGCATCTTCTTCCTTGGACTGCACAAGGCGGAGCGTGAGCCCAACACTTTGCAGATTCCCTTTCACCAGTTCTGCCTAGAGAGAAAGAAGTTAAGAGTATGTCAATTAAGCTGACTGCAAGGATTCATGACTACTAATGATAGCTTAAATAAAATTATACAACCAATATTATTAAAAAAATTACATTAGGACATTCATTGACTTCATTAAGCAGGTTATCACATAATAGATTAACTGCCTGCCAATCCAGTTTAGACTCTGGATGGAACCAAATGACACCAGTTCTGAAGAGCCAAATATGCCAAAACTAGAGAGCAGTGCAAGGAATTGTCAGCAAAATAAATATATAAGTGTATGTGTGCACACATCTGTTCAATAGTTTATATACAATTAATAACAAAACTGAGCTAATCTATGCAAATACAAATCAGCAGGAAAGGCAATACATGGCTCATCTTGCAAAAAGCCCCAGTTCTAACAAAGCTACAACTAAACACAACATCATTATCCATTTTATTGGGAAGAAGTTTTGTTAAAAGTAGCACTGTACAATCAATCTAGGTATCACTTTGAATATACCACATTTGTGTTATAAAACATATTACTACGAGTAGCTCTTCAGTGGTCTATACAAAAAGGTGTTTGGAATGAGAAAACTATTATGTACTTAGATATTGCTAAAGCATATTTAGAACAAATTTAAATTAACAATAACCTAAGAAGTTTCTTCAAAGACTCAGAACATTTTCCTCATTTATCTTGCAAGGTAAACACAAGATAAAATTTCATTCAATAATCTCAAATACCTTATTCTGTAAAAAAAAAAAAAAAAAAAAGACTGAGGTGCAATGCCTGTAGTAGAGTTTCATCCCACACTCATGCACAGATCTCTTATAATTTGTAAGTCCCTATTCAAACACAAGAATTTGGAAATCTTTTTCCAGCCTTAATCATTTAGAACAAGACTTTCAAAGGAACCATCATAGGAAAATTGAGATTTGAGTACTTCAACTCTATGGCAAACCTCAGAAATAATGGTATATACCATTTGATATAAGAATATATCTAGATAGTGGTCAATTGTTTACACACCTCAGTGTCTGATATCTTTGGCAACTTTTTTCTTAATAAAGACTGTCCTTAATGAATTCAAAAATATAATCCCTCCCCTCCCCGCCCCTTAAAGCACATTCCTTCTGGACTGTTTCAAATGACTGTCTACTATCATTCCACTGAAGTATACTCTGTCTGTTTGAAAGGGGAACTTATAATCTATGTTTCAGCTCCAAGGTCAGAAATTTAATTTGCTTTTTTGATTCCCAAGAACAGAGAGACAGACATTGTTTGTAGAAAACCTCCATAGGAAATTTTCTATTTGGTTTCAATTTACTGAGTTTAGGTAGACAGTCTTGTCCTCCATCCTTCTGCATTTACTTTGTTTCTATTCATTTGTCAATGTTTGAACTGTCTGGAGTTGATCCTCCTCTTTGGAAATGTGTTCGTTTGCTTAGTTGTGTACAATGGCTTTCCACAGATGAAGTGGATCACTTAACTTTGGTACATGACGCTCGCCTTGGCTGAATGGCTTTCACTCCTCTCCTATAATCTTAATAGCACCACATCCTGGATTTTTAATTGTTTTTCAGTTCTTTATAGAAATAAAAACGCTACACTATGTAACAGTTTGCTTAAGAACAACATGGAGTTTGAAGAAGCAGACTTGCATTAACTTTCTAAGCTTTGTCACTAATTTTCTGCATTTCCCGCAGTCACTTAAAGATAATATTTTCTCTCAAACTTTAACATCTATTGTGAATACCCCGTAATGTAAGAATACCAAGACCATATATAAACTTAATTCCAGTTCCAAGATTCAAGGTTCTTCTATAATGCAAACAAGTAAATAGCTGCCCACGCAAACAACTGTGGTAGGGGTTTTGGTTTGGTTTGGTTTTAAGGCAGATCCCACTTACACCAAACAAACTCTGATACATAATTAAATTTAAAAAAACTAAATAATAAACTCTTAAGTGTTAAGAAACGAAAAGTATTAGAAATACCTGTGGAAGAAAATAGAAATGTTTTTTTAAAGAAAAGAATTACTCTTCTGCTTTAGTCTTTTATTTACATATAGTACGGCTTTAAGTTAGCAATTCACAAATGTTGCATGTGCTGTATGGAAACAACATGAATGATTACTACAATTTCAAACAACACTAGTTGAATATTTTAACTGTCAAAACCACAGATGACATGAATTTGCTGTGGAGGCATACAAAACTGCAACAAAAACTCCTTCCAAAAATCACTCCCCTATGCTATGTAGCTCTGCATATTATCAAACAAGGAGACCGTTATTTCTGAGATTTGCCACAGAGTCTAAGTACTCAAACCTCAATTTTCCTACGACGGTTCCTTTGAAAGTCTTGCTCTAAATGACTGAGGTTGGAAAAAGATTTCCAAATCCTTGTGTTTGAATAGATAATGAAACTATCATAATTAAGATCAGAAAGTAAACTCCCACTTAAGGAATGCTGACAAACATGAATATTAGAAAGGACAATATTACAAATTTCCTCTTAACACAAAGTTATTCTGGCCATTTAATTACGCTCCTTTAGGGATACATCTATTTTGATGATATATAGTTTCTTCTGAAATCTTACATTAGTTCTGGATCTTAACACCCAGAACTGGAGTTAATTAATAAGACAAGATGTTTTAAAGTCATGGCTCATCCAAGATGGATAAGTCTTGTTAGTTTGCATCACTGCAGAAGAAATGTTGCTGTAAGTTTGTTTGCAACATGAGATAACTCTTGTGCAATCAGTCTTTGAGCAGATCAGAAAAGCATCCGACTACTGAAGGAAGTTGGCCATCATAACACTTTTACAGGAGTTACCTCATGCAAATCTACTTTCTTTTAGTCAGATATTTTCTCATCCATTCAAAGAGTGGCACAAAGGAGCGGTAAGATTTCTAAAGACCTGTTCTTCAGAAAGCAACGAGCCTTATTTGAAGGAGAATGTCAGAAGGAAAACAAGAGCTGGTACTGCAACATCTAGTATTTTGAAGAAAGGCAGCAATGACCTCTAACCACTGTTAGTCCTTGCAATCATGGCAAACTGCATGATGAGCAAAATATGGGAAAAGGGCATAATTAGACAGTAAAAAGGAAAAAAATGTTACCAAAAGGTCTCTTGCAGAGTTTGTCAGTACAGACCCTCATCCTCTTGAGCTTCCTTTGAATCCAAGGACTTCTTTGAGCAGATCTCCATAGTGGATGACTTAACAGTGAAAATATTCTCTACTAGAAACCTCTGAGGTGATTCCCAACATTTCACCCTTCCCTCCTCCCCCAGGGTGAGACCACATAAAAGAAACGAGGGACAGCTGGGACCAAAGACACTTAGGTATCTCTGAACATTTGGCTCCCATGCAGTGACACCAACCGCAGATTACAACGCGTATGACTCACTGATGGCAAGGAGACTTCCAATATTCTAGCAGTATCTGATGGAAAGCTGTTTTTGGAAGGAGAGAGCCTTTGAACATAACAAGCAAAGTTCATCTCAACTTTTTATTAACTTTGGCACAGTCACAAGCTTTCTCACGAAGTAAACTGGTTTTATTTATCAACCCAAACCAGATGAATAGTTTCCCTGATTTTCCTTTCTGGCATCTCCCAAGTTTCACCAAGTAATACTACAATATTTCAGGCTAGCTGCAGTGCAGGTAAACACTGTTTCAAGCTCTCGAACACCCCAATGAGTACACTCACAAAACCGAGCATCTTCATACACCCAGCACAGCTACTTTATGCCTTCTGCCTCTCCCTCAAATTAAAACTTGATAATAAACGTGAAGAGCCAAAGATCTACTGGAACATGAAACATCAGAAGGACAAAAATCAGCTAAACGAGAGAGGTTAGAAGAAAACTGCTGATAATGAGAGGACATTTATCATCATGGAATTTTGTTGCAAGTGAGCAAAATTAACAGCTGCGCCTAGGAGAAAGGAAAATTTTAACCAACTAGCTATACCATAATAAAGCAAGTTTATTTTAATTTGATCTAATTAATAGCTGGTTTACTAGTTCCTGCAAACCTTAGTAGTTAAATAAGGAGCAAGACAAAGCAAATAATACGAATTGCTTGTCAGTGACAGGCATACATTCAAAGTAATTTATATTGAAAGAGTTAGAGCTAAACTGTGTCATGGAACATAGAAAATGCACCTTTTTTAGAAAAAAGTAAGCAAGCCCCAGACTATTTATCAAATACTTGTTGAGATTAAGATGCAACAGAACAGGAATGACTATCTTAGGAAAAAATGAAAAGAAGTAATTTCCTTAGTTTTTTACTGTTCAAGAAAAAAAACACAAGAAGAGGACACAAGATGTCCATTCACTTTCAAATTAATAAAACATTTTGATGTGGTGCTGTGAATGCCTGACTTTTACAGGACAAAGTCTATAAGCATTGATTTCACATTACAGGCTTTAGTTCATTTATATGCATCAGTGTATGAGCCACTGCAGAGCATAACCCCACCACTTTCAGTTCAATATTGGAAGTATGCTCTGGAAATAAAATGCAGCAAATAATTATGTTGTGTCTCATAGCCTTTCCTTACCTTAGCCTTGTCATTTGGAAAGCCTAGCAGATGTTGGATGTCAGTGAAAATCAATTTTTCCAACCTTTCTTAACATACTGATACTGAACTCCACAGTGATCATTCAGAAGTTTATAGCTTGCTAATACCATTTAAATGGCCAAATATTTACACGAGTGTCAATACAGGATGCAGTTTTAATGGTCAAATGCTTCATTAAATTATCAGTCTGAAAGAATTTGCAAATGCAAAGGGACAATAAATAAACATCCCTCTTAAAGGCACCACATTTGTCTGTTGCCATCTCATTTACTATTTGCTTCCAAAACCGTACCTACAAAGTTAGGTTATTTTTGAATACAGAGGTAAGAATGTCATCGGTAATACTGTAGTCTCATAACTACAACATAAGTTAACATTAGATATAGCACTTCCATTCAGAATTTCTAAGACGAGACAC